GACACCAAGATCATAATATTCTTCTGGATCAGTTGGAGTCTAGCTTTGGAATTACTGACTGTGCTTTCCTTGTATCTTTATCAACAGAACCCAATTTGGAGGGTGTCTTTCAGACAGTCTGTCATTACCATAGGGGTGTCTCACAAGGTTCCTGTCTAGGACCGCTTATATTTACAACCTATGCAAGTGAGCAATTTGAGGTGCTTCGAGCTCATCTTCCAGATGTCCACACATAGGCAGATGATACCCAACTGTATCTGTCATTCAAACTGAATTCAGATGTGAATCAGCATGACGCTATTACTACTACGGAACTATATGTGAAGCCATACGTAATTGGATTCTGGCTTAAAAACTAAACTTAAATGATGATAACAGAGAATTGTTTTGGATAATTGGAACTAGACAGCAGTTGGCGAAAGTCAAAGTCAGCCATCTACCTATTGTTAAAATTAGAGTATAGCTCCAACTGATGTTGCAAGGAACTGAGGAACATGGTTCGATACGAACACAAGTCTTCATATTTACTGTGTGAGGTGGCTGTGACAGATCTGTGTCCACTATTGTTATTATTTGTTTTCACTAAATCTTGAATTGGACACTATAATACTGGTAAAGATAACTTGTATCATGATGTAAATGACATGCCTAGAAAGAATAAAGATGTTTTCACAAGAAAAACCTTCAATATTTTTTTCAAAACTTAAATTAACAGTGCTTTTTCTGTAAATTAACTTAAAGTGGTTTAGACCACTATGGTTCTGAACCCCTCAATTGATACTTAGTTTTATAGTCTTTTATTCAAAATTGATATTTTTGTTCTATATTATTCATATTATTTTATCGTTTGGTATATTTTCAATGGAAGGCCAGAAATTTAAATTTTTATCTAGCATTTATATCTACACTTATTTCATTCTATTTATTTTATCATATGCATATGTAAAATGCGCATTGCAAATGATAAATATTATTATTAAATATTATTATCACTCTCAGCTCCAATGCCAGGATTTCAAAATGGCAGTCTGGTGATCTACAACTCTCCGTCATTTGACCTTTTAACTCCACAACTGTAGCCTAGTATTTACTTTTTAAGATCCTTTCCTCCTTCCATCAACATCCATGGCCAGAAATCAGAAGTTTATCAAAAATCGATGTCATTCCAGACCAATCAAGTGGTAACAAAATAGCTCTTGCAAATTGGTTTTGCTTTGAAATTCAGTCCAATTTTAAAGGACATCAAAGGATGGCTTTCTTCTTCCATCTTACACTTCCCTCATGATTGAGCAATGGCACCAATTGTTCACACTTGCAAAGCTCAGAAACAGCTTTTTTTTAAAAGAATTTCAGGAGACGTGATTACATTTACCTTTGATTGTATTGATGACTAAGGCCATGCTGCAGGTTGTGCAATGGCTAGTTTTTGCACCCTTGTTTCTTTTATTGTCTGGTCAAGTAAGACTGTAACATTTTTTGTTTGATTAAAGGAAACTCTTTTCTTAATATGTATCAATACTTTGGTTCAAAACAAATGCTAAACACCACAGCATCCACTGTTGAGTTTTGGATGATGATGATAACTTTATTTATGTGTTATGGAAAAATAGCAGTCAATAACCACTAAGTAAGGACACCTGTAGTATACTAGGACAGCGGTTGTTTATGTAAAAGTATACATCCGGGAGAGTGTGAGCGCGGGAAGATTATTAAAAAGAAACGTGTACTGTGTGTACTGTTGTTGTTCGCCTTCGTGGCTGCCTTTTGTGGCATACTTCTTCATTTTTAGACACTACAAATTGGCGACGAGGATGTCGAATTCAGTAGAAAGGGCGCTTCCGCCTCTAGATTTAACAGGGTCTTCCTCTCAGGTCGCGGAACGATGGCGACAGTGGAAACGATCGTATCAGTATTACATCGATGGCAAGGGAATTACGAATCCTTCTCGGAAAACAGCTCAGTTACTTCATTTAGCAGGTATGGAAGTACAAGATATTTACGAAGATATTCCAGATCCTGGACCACTGAATGCTAACGAGGATAATGAGTATGTGGTGTGTCTGCGAAAGTTGGATGCTCATTTTCGAGCAGAGGACAATGTACCGTACGAGCGTCATGTCTTTCGTCAACTTACGCCGACAAAGGAGAGACCGTCGATAAGTTCATGGTTCGTTTACGTAAACAAGCTCGTCATTGTAATTTTGGTCCAACTTTGGAAGAAAATTTACGGGATCAATTGATTGAAAAGTTGCCTAATGTTGAGCTAAAGAAGAAGCTATTGGAAGTCGTTAATATTACTCTGCAAGCAGCAATGGATAAAGTTCGAAAGTGGGAAGCCTCACACGAGCAGGCAAGTCAAATGGTCATGCCAAGCCAAGAACCTGGAGCAGGTACTCATGCAGTTGAAGAACGTCCTGGGCGTGGAGACAAAGGGAAAAGCGTTTGTTTCAACTGTGGTAAAGAAGGTCATTTTGCCCAAAGTACAAATTGTCCAGCCCGAGGTCGCAAGTGCAGCAAGTGTGGTAAATATGGTCATTATGCTAGCTGTTGCAAAGGGGGAAGGAACTCGAAGCCTGGAAAACAAGGTAACACCCAACAACGGGGAGGCAGACAGCAGCGTCATGGTAAGGGGAGACAGGCAAATCACGTTGAGGGTCATTGTAACGAGTCAGGTGAGGATGACAGTTTTGCTTTTACTATAGAAGAACAGACATGTGCTATGTCAAATTCCTCTGAACCCGTTATCTCAGTGAAGATTGGTGGAATCAGCAGAGATGTGTTGATTGATTCAGGTTCTGCAAGTAACCTCATTAGTAAAGATACACTGCAGGAACTTAAGTATCAGGGGCTCAAGATTGAATTAAAACCTTGTCTGAAGAGATTGTATGCTTATGGGGGTCGAGAGCTTAAAATTGAGGGCCAGTTTCAGACAGAAGTTTCCGTACCCAAAGCAAAGGTTGTGGCAGATTTCATTGTTGTTGAATCCGGGCGTTGTTTGCTGGGATATTCGTCCGCCACAGATCTTGGAATCCTTCGTGTGGATCTCTCAGGAACTCTTGGGACAGGAGACTGTAACACTGTTGATGGTACCTTCGTGGGAGGACTCAAAGCAAAATACCCCAGTGTATTCCAGGGAATTGGAAAGCTTAAAGATTATCAGTTGAAGCTACACATTGACCCCAGTGTAACTCCAGTCGTTCAAAAATGCGACGAGTACCTTTTTTTGTAAAGGACAAAGTAACTGCCAAGGTTAACGAACTCCTTGAAAAGGACATAATTGAGAAAGTCGAGGGGCCTACGGTGTGGGTAAGCCCAGTCGTTGTTGCTCCTAAACCGTCCGGGGACATAAGGTTGTGTGTCGACATGCGGAGAGCCAACGAGGCCATTATTCGGGAAAGATTGCCCATACCAACCATAGATGAAGTCCTTGAAAGTCTTAATGGGAGTGGTGTTTTCTCGATGTTAGATTTAAGGTGGGGTTTTCACCAAATTGAGCTGGATCCTGATTCAAGGGATATCACTGCTTTTGCCACCCATGATGGTATATTCCGCTACAAACGTTTGAGTTTCGGTGTAAATGCCGCACCAGAGAAGTACCAGCATATCATCACCCAGTCAATGGCAGGTCTACAAGGGGTGTCAAACATAGCAGATGATCTTATCGTTCATGGTCGAGACACTGAAGAACATGATAAGAACTTACACAGTGTGTTGCAACGTCTTAGTGAGAAGCAGCTGACTTTGAATGCTGAAAAATGCACTTTCCGAATGACTAAAGTGGTATTCATGGGTCTTTTGCTGAGTAAGCATGGCATCGGCCCAACGGAGGAAAAAAGTCAGAGCAGTTGCAGAGGCAAGTCAGCCTCAGACACCCTCAGAAGTCCGTAGCTTCTTGGGGCTCGTTGGATTCAGTGCCAGGTTTATACCCGATTTTGCTACCACTGCTGATCCCCTCAGAAAACTTGCAAGAAAAAAAAGGGGAACCGTTCGTTTGGGGCAAGGAGCAGGAGCAGTCGTTTCAGAGATTGAAGAGTCAAGTTGCAAGTGCACCAGTCCTAGCTTACTTCGATAAGGACACACCCACCCGTGTTATTGCTGATGCAAGTCCTGTTGGACTTGGCGCCGTGCTGGTGCAAGAAAAGAATGGGGAAAGCCGTGCCATCTGTTATGCTAGTCGTAGTTTGAGTCAAGTGGAGCGTCGTTATAGTCAGACAGAAAAGGAAGCACTAGCCTTAGTCTGGGCTTGTGAACGCTTCCACCTCTACTTGTACGGGCTTCCACAGTTTGATCTGGTGACAGACCATGAAGCACTTAAAGTCATCTATTCCAGGAAGTCTAAACCTTCAGCCAGAATAGAGCGCTGGGTTCTGCGTTTACAACCGTACAACTATCAAGTTTGCTATGTGCCTTCAAGAAAAAACATCGCAGATGCCCTTTCCCGACTGACGAAGATACCGGCGTCAGACAATTCCGCGGAAGATGATGGATATGTACGCGCGATAGCTCTACATGCTGTCCCCGCTGCATTGAGAATCAAAGAGATTGAACAAGTCTCAGCACAAGACTCTGAGTTGCAAGCACTCAGAAATTGTCTCATCGAAGGAAATGGGACAATGCCCCAAAGCAGTATTTGCCAGTGCGCAATGAGTTGACTTTTATTGGCCATGTAATTCTCCGGGGGACAAGAATTGTTATACCCCAAGCACTTCGCAAGAGAGTCGTTAGTTTGGCACACGAGGGGCACCAAGGAGTCACAAAGACAAAGGAGAGACTTAGAACAAAAGTCTGGTGGCCTGCTATGGATCGTGATGCCGAGAAAAGATGTGCAGAGTGTTACGGGTGCCAGATGGTTACAAAGAACGTTCCACCCCCACCATTGAAGTCAACACCGTTACCCAACAAACCATGGGAAGAAGTAGCTGTGGATCTAATGGGTCCGTTACCTTCTGGAGAACATTTGTTAGTTCTCGTTGATTATTACAGCCGGTGGATAGAAGTTGATGTTATCCGAACAACTTCCAGCAAAACCATCATTCATTGCTTGGATGCCCAATTTGCAAGACATGGGTTGCCTAAAGGTCTGCGTACCGACAATGGCTCAAATCTTGTATCCAAAGAAGTAGAAGATTACCTGAATGAAATGGGGATTGAACACCGTTACACAATACCTCTATGGCCAAGAGCTAATGGCGAGGTAGAGAGGCAAAACAGGTCGCTTCTTAAGTCCATGAGAGCAGCCCATGCAGAAGGACAGAATTGGAGAGAGGAGCTAAACAGGTTTCTTTTGGCGTACAGGTCCACGCCACATTCAACCACAGGAAAGAGTCCCGCCGAGTTATTGTTTAGGAGAAAAGCTAACAACTAAAATGCCTGAGCTAGTCAACGTTGAAGAGGAGGAGCTAGAAGTGAGCGACCAAGCCGTTCGTGATCGGGACAATCAGAGAAAGCAGTTTAACAAGGACTATGTGGACAAGAAGTTCCATGCCAGAGATCGAAATGTGAAAGAAGGAGACAGTGTTCTGCTTGAGAAGAAGAAAGAAAATAAGCTGTCACCTTGCTATGAGAAGGAACCATATCAGGTGATATCTCGTTATGGGGACCAGGTGGTGTTGCGATCGCCTCAAGGTGTCCAGTACAAACGCAGCCTTCAGCATATTAAGTCCTTTAATATGCCAGATCCAGAAGAACAGGAAACGCCACAACAGGACGCTAAACCACGGACTGAACCCAAGTCATTTGAGACGCCACCTGTGGCAGAGGATCAAGTACCAATGGCTGAATCACCACCAGAAGATGTACCTTCTACTGTACCTACAGCTGAGCAGCATGTGAGAAGATCCGGCAGAATTACGAGCCGTCCAAAGGCTCTGAGTGACTACGTTCTGTACTAAAACTAGTGACATTGGCATTTTCATATTACTGTTCGTTGTTATTACATGAGTGACATTGAAACGTTGTTTTATAAGCTGAACGGCCAAGGCTATGTTTATGTTTAGCGTGATTTTTGTCTTGAACATTTGGAATCGAATTGAACTTTTACGGTATCTAAACAAAGTGGAAGTTTGTTATGTTTCTGTCTTTCGAGGTCAACCATCTGAGCGAAGAAAGAGAGGGAATGTAGTATACTAGGACAGCGGTTGTTTATGTAAAAGTATACATCCGGGAGAGTGTGAGCGCGGGAAGATTATTAAAAAGAAACGTGTACTGTGTGTACTGTTGTTGTTCGCCTTCGTGGCTGCCTTTTGTGGCATACTTCTTCATTTTTAGACACTACAACACCTAAAATTAGTATTAAATATATAAAACCAGAATGTAATATGAATCTAAAAGGTTTATCTAAAATGTTGCTACTTGCACGTGTTACTATATTTATTTTCAAAATGAACAATAACAATCCTTTCTAATTATATCTTCAAGGTTTAGTTTTCTTACAGATCCCTTAAAAGATGACAATGATGGTGAATTCCTTAGGTATTCAGGGAGCTTTGCCCACAACACCAGTGCAATGTATCTTACAGAGTTCTTGCCATAATTAATGGTGTTTAAGTGTGGGATTTCAAATTCTTTAATTCTAAGATTGTATTTTGATCAATTTTTGACAAATAGATCAGAAATATAAGTTGGGCAAATGTCATACTTCACTTTGTACATTATTATGGTTATATGAAGCAGTCTTCTATTTTTAAGGGTTGGTAGATTCGCCCATTTTAACAACTGTTCACATGATGTGTTCCAATCACAATAGATGGCTCTCAAAGCGCGTTCTTGAATGCGCTCAAGGTTACAGGCGTCAGTACATTTACAGAAATGCCAAACAGTGCTGCAGTATGTCATGTAGATAGGGCTCTGTCGCCTCATTTAGATGCTCGGATGCTAGCAAATGAGATGGGCGAGTATTTTGTCCACAAAATCACGGCTATTTGGTCTGCGCTGTATGCGGATGCCAGTGGCGCAACTTCGCTTGCTACATCAGCCTCAACGTGTAGTGAGTTTTCTGAATTTTCTCCACTGTCTGAGGAGAGTGTACGGAGAATTGCTGCCTCATGTGCAAAGTCGTGCGCCTTTGATCCCCTACCATCGTCTATTCTGTCCTTCTGTTTGGATGAACTGCTCCCTGTTATTAGGAAAATTGTCAACTTGTCTCTTGAGTCTGGCGTCTTTGCAGAGAACTGGAAGAATGCTTTAGTTCACCCCTTGCTTAAGAAAGCAGGACTCAAACCTATTAACAAAAATTTTCGACCGGTGAGCAACTTGCAGGTTACATCAAAGATCACGGAAATGTCCGCGGCTATCCAATTACAAGATCATATGACAGCCAACAACTTATTTCCTGTCCTCCAAAGCGCATATCGGCAGAATCACAGCACTGAGACGGCGTTATTAAAAGTTAAAAATGATCTTCTGCTAAATATGGACAAAGGTCACGTCACATTGCTTGTTATGTTAGATCTCAGCGCTGCGTTTGACACAGTAGATCACGGTATTCTTCTGCAAAAGCTGCAGTCCAAGCTTGGCCTTCGGGATAAGGCTTTATCATGGTTTAAATCTTATTTGGCGGGAAGAACGCAGCAGGTCTCAGTTAACGGATCGCTCTCTGATAAATTTAATCTGTCTTGCGGGGTCCCACAAGGTTCTTGTTTGGGCCCCCTCTTATTTACCATCTACGCGAGTTCGCTGTTTGACATCATGAAATCTCATCTGCCATCCGTTCACGCCTACGCGGACGATACACAGCTATATATATATCGTTTAATCCCGTTGATAAGTCCAGCGAGGCTGATGCTGTTATTGCGATTGAGAACTGTATTCGTGACGTTCGCGCTTGGATGAGAGATGATAAGTTAATGCTAAATAACGATAAAACTGAGTTCCTGATCATTGGCACGGAACGACAGTTATCAAAGGTGTCCGTTGACAAGATCAAGATCGGCCAAGCTGAGGTATCGCCTGTTTCTTCAGTGCGCAATTTGGGCACCTGGTTCGATTCTCATCTGGACATGTCGACTCATGTGACTAAGACTTGTGCTAGCGCGTTTTATTATTTGTACAATATACGGCACATTAGGAAGTATTTGTCTCGTGAGTCCACTGTGAGGCTTGTTCACGCGTTCATCACAAGCAGTCTTGACTACTGTAATGGTTTATTGTACGGTGCTCCTGAGTATCTTATTAAGAAACTTCAAAGAGTCATGAATGCCAGTGCTCGATTGGTTTACTGTGCACCTAAGTATTGTCACGTTACTCCTTTGCTAAGAGAACTCCACTGGCTACCAGTGCGCTTGCGCGTAGATTTTAAGATTCTCCTTGTTATATTTAAGATTCTTCACGGTGTTGCGCCTAGCTATCTTAAGGATCTTGTCTCTGTCTTACCGGTCTCACGTTACCAACTACGCCGTAACAATAATGGTATATTGTTAGAAAGACCTCAGCTAAGAACTAAGAAGACCTTGGGAGATCGCGCGTTATCGATGGCTGCCCCCTTTTTATGGAAAAGTCTTCCTCTGCCAATTAGACAGGAAACATCAATCGACTCTTTTAAACGCTCTGTTAAAACATATTTATTTAAAAAGGCTTTTAGTTAGATTATTTATTTATTTTTTTATTTTTATTATTTTTATTTTTTAATATTGTAATGTTAATATTGTAATATTGTAATTTTACCGAGTAATTTTACTGGTTTTAATTTAGTTTTTAATAATATTGTAATGCGCTTTTGAGTATTTTTATAGAAAAAGCGCAATATAAGTATTAAATATTATTATTATTATTATTATTATTATGTGTGGTAGAATTGCTGCATTGTTCAGTGCTAACTTAGCATTTGTCAGTATAAGCTTTCGTAGTCTCCTAACAACTCCTACTTGTCAGCTGGTCTTTTTACATATTTCACTGATATAACTAGTGAACGATAGACTGCGATCAATATTTATTCCCAGATATTTTACTTCTTGGTAGGGTGTTACAGCAGTTCCAATAATGTTCATATCAATACTTATTTCCAGTTTGCCTTTTCCTATTAGCATACCACCATACTTAGAAAAGTTTCCTTGTAAAAAAGTTCCCCTCATACCAATCAGTTGCAATAACAGCACTGTCCTGCTACTTTTGCTGTATAATTGTTACATCCTTATGCATACAGGAGGGATGTGGATGCATGCAGGAGGTTTGCAAAGAGCTCAAGAAGCTTGAGTCCCTCTCTTTTGTTGCCTCAGACAACTGTTATGCTTCTTTCTTGCTTAGCAACCACAGCCCAAGAAAGGAAATGCTAAAAGATAATCGAAGAAGGTAAATGAACAAAGTAAAGGTAAAAGTTCAAAGTAAGCAACAAAGATAAAGTTGCACTCAAAAAAAAATTCTAAACTCAGGTCACAAAGTGACTCTGACACAGGCTGCAAAGAGTATGAAAACAGCACTAGACAGCAAAAGGATAAACAAAGATGTTCAGCTTTAGACACTTTAAGTCTGAGAGAAAACAAGATGAGATGTTTTTCATGTGGAATTTGCCAGAGAACTCTGCGATCGGTGCACACTTTCTGACAGCCCATGGGGATAATACAAGCCTCCTCAAAGCTAAAAAAGTGCCAAGGAAAATTTGACTGTCTTGTCTATGAGATGCTTTTCATCAAGCAACGCAATCCTAGTCTCAACACACAGACTGATTCCACTTGCGCAAAACTCTTTGTTTAAAAGAACATTCCATTACCTATTGTCATTTTAGTATTTAAACATTTTTTATCTTTCACTCTTTGATTTGATAATGATGTTAGCCACACGTCGAAATGTCGTCAACATATTTTCAATAAATGAACTTATTCAATTTACATGTGCATGCACTTGGTACACTTTGAATTTAAACAGCTTCATCACCCCTGAGTGAGCTTCAGTTGCTACCTTAACAGGCTACACAATAAAATTCAAATAAATTTAGGGCAGACTACAGCATTGCACCAAAAAGTCACATGTCTAGTGCTAAATGATACAAGTTGAAATGTGAATAGAAAGATTGAAATGTTTGGCCAAAGCATTTAAGCAAAAGAAGCACAGGATACGCCTTTAAACATGAAAGCAGCAATTTCCTGAATTTAAGAATCAAACGAATATTGCTAGACAATATGTAGTCCTTTGAGGTGCATATCAGTGCCAAAGTTTGAAGATGTCCATGTTGATCAAACTTCATGTTGCAGCTGTTGCATGCAGTTGTCACTCAGCTGAGCTGACGGGATTTGAAACATGGGCCTCCCGTGATTGCCATCCTCTGCATCATCATTTGTGAAACCTTCAACACCATAACTACTGATGGCCTCACTTTAAAATTCAATCCCCACAGGAGTTTGCAGTTGACCTGCCACCCACATTCTGATAAGTGATGATCTAACTGTGGGCAATCTGTGCTGTAACCTAGCCCTATTCCACATGTTAAGCTTTTCAGGAATTTTTTTGCAGAAAAACATGGTAGGAAACAACCACATGGAGGTTATTGCAACGATGAACGATTCCTTCATCCTCCATAACATAAAACAATTGATAGTACAAAGCTAGCCCTCCTTGAGTCCCTGGTCAGTTTGCACTCTGCTTGGAAGGCCATACGTATTTACTGCTTCCAAGAAACACCTCAAAGTAGTATCTGCATTGTTGGTATCTGTGCATTTCAACATCACTGGTAGTCCCCTGAAACCATCAATTCCACCCATAATAATGCAGTTCCAACATACAAGTTTATGACTTGTAAGTTGCCAAGTAGATGCAGATTCTTCAGCATGAATTTGTTCACCTTATCTGGCTCAGAGAAAGGGGCTAGGAGGGAGAAGAGATTTCTAGAGCTAAGCAAACCTATATACTACTAAGGGTAACAAATGGACAAGCCTGTCTTTGTGACTTTGACAAAGGGCCT